CGATATGCGAACTGTAATGGGTCCTGAAAGGTGTTGACTTGCTTGTTGAGGTGAGCCAGTAAGAGTCTCTCCAGGACCTTCATGATGTGAGATGTCAAGGCAACTGGTCTGTAGTCATGGTGCTGCCACCACTGTCCTCCAAGAGATACTCAATGACTTGGAAATGTTCTCGTATCCTGATTTATGGTTTTCAGCAACTTTTTCATCCAGTTGCTTGAAGTAATCTTTTGTCTTCATGGTGTAGTTCTACCCAGGAGTCCTGATTCATTAGTAATCGGACCCTCCAGATACACGTCTTTATACTGCACTCGCATGATCTCCATTTCAATAACTGTGTGACTTGAAGCACCAGTTGGCTGCTCTTGTGTTGATCTGATGAGTCAGTCACTGATTTGACATTTTATAATAATGATATGTAACTGGCTGGTTTGGTAAATCTACCGCCCCGTTGCTGTCACATAGCAGCCTCCCTTAGCTTCCGCCACATAAAGAGTTCTAATAACTTTAGAGGTAGTAAGTGGTATTTCACAGGTCAGAATATCAGGTACTCTATAGGTTCTGACATTATCGTTGTTCTTAGATAACACGGTGGAGGTCAGGGGCTGCTTTTTGTCTCACTCTTCCCTGAAGATGAGTTTCTGCTGACCGGTTCCTTCCTGTTTCACCAGCAGAGACTGAATTTGCTGACCGGTTCCTCCTCGTTCCACCACTAAAGTGAGGCGACGGGGACAATGGCGCTCAGGCAGGATGAGCAGCAAAGTCAGAAGGAGGGAGCAGTTGACGGGGTCACTAAGCTGCAAACTGCTGACGGGTCCAGAGAAGCAGTAGGAACACCAGGTTCAGGGAGCACATCCCATTAATCAGTGCGAATCGCAGCCAACATAAACGTTCCTGTGTTTGCTCCATACGATGCTGACCGCGGGGATTCGAGGACTCATCTGGGCTCAGTCACCACGAGCTGCTGCAGGTTTATCAGAGGGAAGCACTTGCTCCCCGCGATACACCTGTGTTCACGTCTAACCCGACCCCCGCTCGTGTCGCCAATAAAAAGCCAGATATCTGCTCACTTTTAAACAGCGTGGAGATAACGTGACGATGAGGATGTGCGTGCATGTCTGGGTTAAAGAGCCCCCTTCCTCAGTGAGTTGGATGTGCCACAGGCCTCCCACCATGCTCAGCTCATCACAGCTCAGAGGGGGGCTTCCTCGCATTGTTCTCAGCTATGTGGGGCCTGTTTTTTACCACTTTTTGCACCATTCCTAGCAGCCGAATACATGCAGGATCATGTCGGGTCATTCACGAAAGCAGCTGACATCCCAGAGTCGACGTAAACCAAAAGTAAACGCTTGTTTTTCCACTGAAATCTGGGAATTGGACCTTAAATTACCTGTGATCTGGTACTGTGGGGGAGATGAACACGAATTAATGCTTTTGTTTACCCACATTCTTGGCTTTAGGGATGGAAATGCAGCAGCAGAGAGTGAAAGTACTGATACTACATCGTAAAAACGTTCCATTGCAAGTTCTGCATTGTTAAACATTTTCTCAGACACACGTATATATTGTAATATTAGATGGTAAATACTCACATATTAACATTTTGCTGGTGTAGCTGACTGAGGTGACAGCCATTGATTATCTTCATCATTGCTCAATTCTCCTACTTTTTACATTTTTAATTAATTAGCAGAATATTTGGTTTTTAAATAGAAGAAAACAGTCCAAACCTCAAAATGACAAACAATAAATCAAAATAATTATATAGAATGATTAATAAATTATCAATCGTCTAATCTTTTTAGCTCAAAATGACACTTAAGTTAATTAATAATTAGCTAATTAGCAACTTTTTGCATGCTAAGTAGCCAAATAAAGAATGCTAAATTGTAACATTCCACTTGTTTAATATTAGCATGTTAGCAGTGTCCTTGTAAGGTGTGTTAGCAAGGCATTAGCATGTGTTACCAATATTATTGTATATAATATTATTGTTTTTTATTATTGTTTGTTTTTTTTTAGCATGACTTTAGTATTTAGCAGCTCACAGCGAGTGTGGATGTGCTAGCGCTCCATTAGCATACCAGGGGGAATTTATGCGCCATTAAAATAATCCCAACCTGCTGAATAATTAACAGGTTTAGCAGCTGTTTGGTTTGTTATGAATCCCAGATATTTATCATGTCATTAATATTCTTCATCCATCCTTCGTCCCGTGACGGGTCGCAGGGTGCTGGAGCTCGTTCCAGCTGACACGGGACAAACTGGTGCTTAGTTTGGAGTCATTTCATATAAAATCCTGGTTTTTAGGATATTAACTGCAGCTCTGCATCCTCTGTAGCTGAGTGGGTGTCCCTGGACCTCCACTCCCAGTCCTCACTGAGGAAGTCCTGTTGCAGCTCTCTGGGTGTTCTGGGGAAATGGGAGGGTAGAAATTGAAGGCTGCTCGATTGCTCAGATAGTCTTCAGCAGCAGAGCTGGAAGGATTAATCATCCTTCTGCAGGCTGCACAGCGAACACTCTCCAGAAGACAGCGAGGCCTCAGAAGGACCTGCTAACGAGGTACGATGATTAAAAACCAGAGGCTGAACGTCAACGTCTGTGTACGGCTGCTGAAGCATGATTGCATGAGTGAAGATAAGTCGTATGAAGGTTTCAGGGGTCTTGGATGAAGCTGCATGAAATCTGATGAACGCTGTGAACTGGTTCTGGTGCAGTAGAAAGACATGAGGTTTGCAGACCGGATCAGAACCTCAGAGTCTTCAGGAGAAATCAGCCAGAACAAGCATTGTGTGAAATACGAGTTCGACTTTTTTTTTTGTTTTTAACTTTCTTAATCATGTTTAGTAGATTTCTTGAATGTATTTCTTATTGCAGGTTTTACATTAAGATTTGTCATTTACATGTTTAATATTTTTTTCTTAGTGGACTTTTTAAAAATTTTTTTGGCCTTTATTATATAGAGCAGTCAAGAGAGAGACAGGAAAGTGGGGAGAAGAACTGCAGCAAAGGGCCATGAGTGGGATTCAAACCCATGACTGCTGCATCGGGGACTACAGACCCTGTACATGGGTCGCCAGCTCTACCAGCTGAGCTAAAGCAGCAGCCCATACTTTTAATTTGTTTTTTAAATATTTTATTTCAATATTTTAAAAGTTAATATTTTTGTTGAAACTTTTATATTTATATTTTTAAATATTTTTTTATTTAAATTTAGTTTTTTTTTCTTACAATCTTTAAATTTCAATATTTTTTTTGCCATTTATTTATTTGAAGCTGCGACCATAACACACCAGAATCTTAAAACTTTTATTTGTCACAAGGGACTTTCTCTTTTTAATTTGGCTTTAAAGTTGTTATTTATTTATTACAATTTATAATGTAGTTGTTTATATTTATTTTTTAAAATAACAATCTCTTTATTTTCCATTTAAAATATTATTTTAATTAAATTTAATAATTTGTTTTTATTTATAATAATTTAGTTTTTTGTTAAAAGTAATTTAAAAAAAAAGATTTTTATAAACTGTAATTGTAGTACATTTAAATTTTTCTTTGTTTTTTGTTTGTTTGTTTTTTTCATTTATTTATTTATTTTTAGCTGCTGGCATAACACACCCGAACCTTTTACCAACCTGTCAGTGGTCATGTGGACAATGTGTTTATTTTTTACTTTTTTTTAATTTAATGTTTTGTCATTTCTTGGATTTAAACTCTCAATTTCAAATTACATGTTCTGTGTTAAAATGCAATTTTCTTTTTTGCTTTTTTAAATATATATATATATATATATATATTTTAGTGAGATTTTATTCCATTTCATTTTTATTGGGTGCCAGCAGAACACACCTGATCTGTGACCCGCCCTGTGGTGGTCATGTGGATGATGTGGGGACTTCCTCATCAGAACACACAGAACAAAACCCGTCCCATCTGGTTCTGCTGCATCAGTTCTAGTGCATTTTATTTTGTTGTTGTTGTTTTTTCAACTGTTGAGTCCAACTTTAAGAACTAAAGAGGAGGCGAGTCATAAACTGAACGTATGCCTTTAATTCTGAACCGTGACGTCTGAACTCGGTGCCTCGGAGCCAAACGTCTGCTCTGAATTCCTCGCTGCAGGTTGTGAAATGGATTTCGTGAGGTTTAAGTATCAACCTCTCAGGAACATTTGAGTAACGTTCAGCTCAGCACCTCTGCCCTCCTCCTCCTCCTCCTCCTCCTCCTCGGTTATGCAACGTCTGAAATCATAATCAGATTAAGCCCAAAGTAAACCCAAACTCTGTCCAGATATCAAAACGCTTTCCTTCTGCTTCCAGGAATCATGAGCACCGACCAGCACAACCACTCGCTGGACTTCCTGAACGGGACGCCGTGGTTCGTCTTCGAGTGCACCATCGAGCTGGACAACAACTCGCGGCGCATCGCCCTCTTCCTCATCTACCTGTTCATCTTCGTGGTGGGGCTGCTGGAGAACCTGGTGGTCGTCTGGGTCAACTGGCGCCGGCGGCACTCGGCCAACAGCGTCCTCTTCTGCATCATCAACGTGAGCCTGTCGGACCTGATGGTGATCGTGATCCTGCCCTTCTTCATGATGGAGGTGACCATGGACAAGGTGTGGCTCTGGGGCCGCTTCCTCTGCAAGGTCACCAACCTCGTCTACCTGGTCAACTTCTACAGCAGCTCCTTCTTCTTGGCCGCCATGACGCTGGAGCGCTACCTGTCCCTGAGCCGGCCGTCGTCCGCCGCCTTCTTCCCGGTGGCGGGCCGGCAGCGCTGGGTTCTGTGCGGGGGCCTGTGGGTTCTGTCCCTGTTCCTGGCCCTGCTGGAAAACGTCCACGTGGACATCCTGGAGTGGGACGAGCCGGGCTGCTACATGCTGCCCGAGCACAACTTCACCGAGTGGTTCGTGTCGGTGGCGCTGATCGGGATGCTCTTCCAGTTCCTCGTGCCCGCCGCCGTCATCATCACCTGCAACCTGCTGATCGCCCGGGCGGCCCGGACGGCGCCGGACGTGGAGGGCCGGCGGGACGTGTGGCTGGTCCACGTGTACTCGCTGGTGTTCGTGGCGTGCTGGCTGCCGTACCACCTGGTCATCTTCCTGATGATGATCGACGACCTGAACCCCTACATCTTCAGCTGCAACACGGTGGAGGTGCTGTACTTCTCCTTCAGCGTGCTGCAGAGCCTCTCGCTCTTCCACTGCGTCGCCAACCCCGTCCTCTACAACTTCCTGAGCCGGAGCTTCAGGAACAACCTGGTCAACACCGTGCTGAACCACATACCCAGACCGGCGGAGCAGGAGGGCGCCGCCTCCAAACCCAACGGCCCCAACGGAGGCGACCCGGAGAAGCAGCGCAAGATCAGCAACGCCAGCACCAGCCAGTCGGACGTGGGATCGTAAGAGAAGAAGAACGAAACCGGCAGAACTGAGCGCAGACTGATCCCATAATCCTGTTCTGTGTTAAAAGCATGTATCTGATGGCGGGTTGAAACGGAGGAGGGCAGGAAATGTTTGATGCTTTTTTTCCGCCGAGCTGCTCGACTCCCACAGGAACTCGTGGCACCATCTGAAATCTTAACAAAGAAGAAGCGCCACACCAGGAATGCGCGTAAACAAAATTCTGTCCCAACAGGATGCAAATATCGCAGCTGTAGCTACTCGATGCTTATTTATCTGTCTCTGATGTAGTGCTGCTCTGTTCAAATGCAATAAAACTCCCTCCAACACCGTCTCCGTCCGTCTGCGCTTAGCGAAGGAAAAAAAAAAAGAGCCTCAGAGACGCATGTATGTGGAAGCTGGGTGTTTATTCTACGAGCCGCTCCGCTATCTCCCCGCTAACGAGCTTTATTACAGTCGCTTCCATTTCTGGAATGTGTTCGACAGTTTTTAACGAGATAAGAAAAAAAAAAAAAAGAAAACAGGGGGGGGTTTCAGTCCACAGATGGCACAATAGCAGGAAGAGTCCACAGGCCGAAGGTCAGGACGCCTGGAAGCACGTTTCTGCAAGTTCATCACTGAAATTCTGATGATGGACGTAAAAATAGTTCAGGGGCTGATAACAGTCGTCCTCCTCCTCCAGGCTTTGTATGATTCTCAAAAACATTCATCGATAGCTTTAGAAACAGTTAATGAGACGTATAAAGGCACCAAAACAATAATAATAAATACTCGTCATAAATATGAGGTAAGACACGAACATCACACAGAATCACGTTCCTACAACACGACTTTAAGGACGCGTAAAAAAACCGTCGCGTGTGAAAATAGTGACTGTAAATATAAGAAAATAATCTTTGTGCTACAATGAGGCGCTACAGTTAGAAACGATCCTGATATAGAAACATACAGACGTGTTCGGGGTTCAACGACAGCTTTCAGCCGCCGAACGCTGCCCCCCAGTGGCTCCTCGGTGAACAGCAGCCGGTCCAGTAGATATCATACATTCTAAGACAGAGCTGCGAGATGAACAGAAAACCCACCAGAACCGGTCCTGATGGTCAGAACAGCCATCAAACTAAACGTATAACATCCTCCAGTTGAACGTCTGAACGGGAAGAATTTGCAGATTTTTGTGTTTAAAGTCAAACTTTTTGTGTTTTGGACAAAAAAAAAAAGCAATTTTACAGAAATAATAATCAAAAATATAATCAATGGAAATAATCTTCAGTCGGGAACAATATTGATTATTAGTAAATAATTTCCAGCCTGATGTTTGTTTGTTTTTTATATAAAGTGACAACGTTTGTGTTTGGGAAACAAATTAAAGATTAATTGACTGATTGACTGATTGATTTTTAGGATTTTTTGACAATTTAAACACCAGAAATATGATCAATAAAAATCATCTTTAATCCAGAATTAGTTTTCAAAAGTGCCAAATATTCTCTTTGAGCACTTTTTGGGGCGATTTCTGTGTTTTGGAAGCGACTTTAACGACTATTTAAAAGTGATTAGTCCGATATAGCATTTTAAATTTAAATAATCCTTATTTGGGGAGAAGTTTGCAAAAAAAAAAAAGCCAAATAATTTCTGGTTCCAGCTTCTAAAATTAGAGAATTTGTAGATTTTTTTTTAGTTTTGGAGGTGATTTGAAGATGCAAATTTGGATATTTTTAAACATTTAAAAGCAAAAATAAATAATCAAAAATATAATCAGCAATGAAAACAATCTTTAGGCAGGAATTATTTTGCAGAAACACCAAATATTCTCTGGTTCCAGCTTCTACAACGTGAACGTTTGCAGACTTTTGTGTTCAAGTAACAATTTTTTTATTTTATTTTATTTTTTATTACTTTTTTTTTTTTTTTACAAATTAAAGGCTTAACAAATCCAGAAAATAATCAATAACGACAAAAATCTTTAGTCAGAAACTATTTTTTGCATAATTTTGTTTTGGAATTTTGGAGGCAGTTTCTAGATGAAATACTGGAATTAAAAAAAAATAAATCTTACAAATTAAAAATGAAATAATTGTAAAAAAAATAAAATAAAATAAACAATAAAAAATAATCTTTATTTAGAAATTATTTTCCAAAATTGCCGACGAGTCTCTGGCTTCTAAAACGCAAGAACTTTTTAGGTTTTGGATTTAGAAGAAATTTGAAGACGCAACTTTGGATGTTTTTAAAAAAAACATTCTGGACGATTTAAATACTGAAGGTTTGATTAAAAAATATAATCAGTAATAACAGTAATCTCCAGCTGCAGCCCTGGTCTGCTGTGAGCAGTCTGTGGTCCATGAGGACGGATGTCAGGCGTCCACGGCGGCGGCCAGCGGCTCCTTGGAGTGGTCGTTGTACATGAAGGTCTGCTCGATGTTGAAGTCCGGGGGCAGGTGGTCCTTGTGCAGCTCCATGTGCGACGACACCAGCTTGAGCGTGGAGAAGAAGAGGCCGCAGACGGTGCAGCGGTACATGAGGGCGCCGGCGTGCGTCTTCAGGTGGCAGATCATGGTGGAGCGGCCGCGGAAGAAGCGCAGGCACACCTTGCACTGGTAGGGCTTCTCCCCGGTGTGGATGCGCAGGTGGTAGGTGAATTCCCCCGAGTGGGCAAAGTGTTTCCCGCAGTAGCGACACCGGTACCACTTCACCCGGACCCCCGCCGCCACCGCCGCCCCGTCCTGCCCGGAGCCCCCGTTGGCTCGGACCCCAGGGAACAGGTTGTGGGTCGGGCCTGGGAAGAACTTCTCGGGTAAGCTGAAGCCGACCCCTAAACCCAGGCTGCTCATTTTGACTACGTCCCGCGGAGACGAGGAGGGGCAGGAGGCTCCCTCCAGGGGCTGCTCCGCTTTGCGTTTGCCCGACCAGCCCTGACCCCCGACGCCTCCTCCGGCGCCGCCCAGCGACTCGGTGGAGTGCAGGCCCAGGTGGTACTGGAAGGCCGACGGGGACCTGAAGGTCTGCGGACACAGGAAGCAGTGCAGCTCCTCCGCCTCGCCTCCTCCTCCTCCTCCGCCGACTCCCTCCGCCCCCACCTTGAAGGCCCTCAGCGCCCAGCGCTCCCTCTCCTTCGCCGCCGCCTCCTCGGCGTGCGCGGCCATGTGTCGGTCCAGCAGGGGGCGCTCCACGAAGCAGCGGGCGCAGTGAGGGCAGGAGAAGACGGGCAGGGACAGGTGGGTGAGGGCGTGGTAGAGCAGGGAGCAGAGGGAGAGCTGGGGGAGGTGACACACCGAGCAGGTGAGGCTCTGAGGACAGACGTGAGCCAGCAGGTGGCTTCTGACGCTCTGCAACCACAGAAACAGGAAGAGAGAGGAGCAGC